TCCTTTCATTCCCCACCATCCAGTCAGAGCTGAAGAAGCTTCTTGGATGAGAAGCAAAATGCTTTCCAAGAAAAACAAGAAAGTCCAGTTGCTTCTTGAAAAAGCACCTTTGGGACTATTACCAGCACAAAAAAATGGTCATTAAAAATGTCCACTTATCTGATGACTTGTTTTATGACCATCACCACTTACAACCATGATGGACATGCTCCATTATGATCATAACCTGAAGGCTACCTTAAAAAAAGGATGCAACAGAAACCTAAAATGTAGTAAACCTCCACTAACTTGACCCAGGGCCAAATTTTAAAGGGAAATATAACTAATGTCATTGTTAGCATTCCGCTCCACAGTCAGAAGAAAGGTACCACTGCATTGTGTTATAAAAACCACCAGCATTTTGCCAGGAATAAAAGGGCCAAATTGTAGGCATAACCATATCAAGGACATTTTTAACTAACTTTTCTAACTCATGGTGTAGACAACTATATGACTTGAGGACAAGGAGTCCATTCTGGTAGCACAAATGCCATATCTGCCCTAATTTATAATGTAAAAGATAAGAAGAGGCCAATCTGTAAGACTGTCAAGAACAGCCCCAAATTTCAGTAATGCTAGGACGTACCGAGGGTACAAAACTCCTGCATTGTTAAAGTGTGTTTCTCCTTCCTTGGCTCCGACAGAAGTCCACACCCAAAACACAAAACTGAAAAGAAAGAAGAGCAGAGAAAATCCCTGGCATGTTAAACTCTGCCCAGTCACCCAGAGGGGAAAATCTCCACTAAAGGACAGTAATGAATAATGTTTAGAAAGTGAAATCAGTGTCCCAGAGGTGTTGTCATTTCCTAATTGTCCTCAAGTGTGCCCTGAATAGTCAGGATGCTAGCAGCTCATCCGTGATTCTTTAGGCTAAATGCATGGATGGCTGGATAATTCTCAGAATTGGATGGCTCGGTGACAGGACTGGAAGCCAGGACAGCTCCATTCATTTCAACACCTCCCCGTACCTTACAGGGCTGCAGATATGAATCCTCCCTCTGGATAGAGATTTCTGCACAGCAATCCTGACTTCTGCGATCACAGGGGACATGTTTGAAAAGCCCCAGTAGACATCACAGCAATTCAGTTGACAGTTCCTCTATGGAGTTGCCTCTTCGCATCTACCTCTGCAGAAGCAGTACCCATCTCTCGCGTACGCCAGCCAGCCAGCCAGACAACCAGCCAGCCCTGTGCTTTCTGAAGCTATTGACACTGAGGCCAACAGCTAGTGTAAATCAGCCCTAGGAAGCTAAATCTGTTTAGAACACATACACATGTAAATAAAAAAAGGCAAAGTTCTCTGCTTCCCCCCCCCCTCCTCAAAGTGAGTAATTTTATCCTCGAAGCAATAAGGATGGGTGTCAATTTGGACTTTCAATGATGTAGAGATTCAATGTTCTTCCTGCTCCCCATTGCCTTTGTAACATAGCATGCAGCAATTACGTCTCCTGCCAGTGTTTGGCAGGAGACATCGCTATGCACTCGCTGGCATCAGCAGGGACTCAGCAGGGGTATTTTAATGATTGCGGTGGTGCTCGGTGCAGGCTGCAGGAAAGATGCACAGATCTCCCGATTGCCTTCGAAAATACTTCTTTTTTTGTTGCTGTTTTTACAAATTCGTTTAGGGAAGGGGAAAAAAAACCCAGCCAAAAATGGATGGAAGTTGTCGATTTGTTGTCAACAGCTTGGTCCAATGTAGAGGTCATGTGCTTTGTATTTTAGGGGCAACTTGATAAGGCTAGCCATTTTGCTTTGGGCTGTTCTGTTTCTCAATACACACCCCACCAACTTCCTTCATCCTCTTCTCTGGTTTTCCTGATGCACACCCAGATATACACTGTGGAAGTTGCCCAAAGACATCGCAACGGAAGGTGCAATTGAACCGGGGGGAGGGGAGCGGGCTGGATAGTTGCAGGATTAAAATGCCAAACTGCTTTGAAATTTAATGTCCCATCCAGGTCACCACAGATGTCTGGCAGAAATGCACAGCTACTGGCAAATTCAAATGCTAAAACGTATTTAAAGATGGTGGCAGAGTTGGATTGTGGCTGCGCTCTTGGGAGGCGCGATTGTGCTCTGGCACCCTCAGAAAAAAATGTCTCTCTGTGGAATGCCAATCACTTGGGACCCACTCAAAGAAATGCTGTCCTCAGAAGGATTCCATAGCTACTAATACACCAACTGAGGGTTCCAATTATGTTTAAACCTCAGTAGGTTTCAGCGTACACAACATGGTTGGGTGAATGTGGGGCATGTATTGGCAACAAACTTTCACAAAGCTTGTGTTTCTAAAAAAGGCATAGATCTTACCACAAGGTTCAAGGAGAGTCACTCTTCCCAACCTGTTCTTTTCTTATCCATATTATATAGAAGGTTACTAGGGATAGGTTGTTCTCCCTTTCTAGTGATACTCAGATTTTGGCACTTCTCTGCACAGTTTGTGGCTGCTTTGCAGCAAGGATAGTTGATACTTCAACAGGGGCATCTGGGGGAGGCACTCAAAAAAGTCAAGAGGGAAGTTGTAACTGTAACTGCAACCAAAGCTCCAGCTCTTTGTTACATACATCATTTTGTAGACGTAAAAAAGCATGAGACTTTGGTCATGTGTTCATCTGCCACCTTGATTTTTTTACCCTCCTCCAGTAAATATCAGTAATTTAAGGGGTGGGCAGTTGGTCTTCTGTCCTTCATGGGGAATTCAGCAGAAAGGGCAGGGCAAATGGTCCCTCCCCACCCTTAAAACTCTTTCAAAAGCCTGAAAAATACCCTTAACTGGTTTTTAAAGCCAATTTTAAGTTACTAGTTAAGATCTGAATTGACTTTCTCAATGCCTTAGGTTGATTTGAACTGGAAAAACAATTTGGGATGCTTGGGAAACTGAAAAATGAGATCATAAAAGCCCAATTGCCCACAACACCAGAGAGAAAGAAAAATAAGATACCTCAGGTAAAACCAGCATGGTTGCATAAAGAAAGAAATTATCAGAAGCCAACATGGGTTTGTTAAAGCATAAGATGCCAGACAAACTTTATTGTCTTCTTTGATAAAGTGAATAAATTAGTGGATCAGGGAAATGTTGTGGGTATAGCATACTTAGACTTCAGTAAGGCATGGCATTTAACAAAGTAGACNGAAGCAACTTAGAACTGAGAAGAAATTTCCTGACAGTTAGAACAATTAATCAGTGGAACAGCTTGCCTCCAGAAGCTGTGAATGCTCCAACACTGGAAGTTTTTAAGAAGATGTTGGATAACCTTTTGTCTGAAATGGTATAGGGTTTCCTGCCTAAGCAGGAAATTAGACTAAAAGACCTCCAAGATCCCTTCCAAGTTCGTTATTTTGTTAAGATTGTTGAAAAGTTAAGGCAATGAGCTCGTTTCCATATTTGGCTGTCTTCATCTAGTAGGATTTAAATTGGTTTGAATTATATTGGTTTGAAGAGAGGAAATTAATTTGCCTCTCCATTCTCTTGGAAACAATGACCGGGAGAAATATTTTTTTTCTCCTAGTGTGCATAATTTTATTAATCCTACTTTTATCCTAACTAGTATACACTAGTTTATTAATCCTACTTTTATCCTAACTAGTATACACTAGTTTCAGAGGAGGGCATCACATACCCAGCACCAGAAATGTGAGCTTGCGCACAAACTTACTTCACTCGTGCGCACGTCGTCAACATGTGTAGGCTGTTGACATTCGTGTGGCATCAAAACACATGGCAATTTGCTCATGCATGTCTTCCACACATGCATTCAGCATCAAACAACATGGCAATTAACTCATGTGCACCTTTTGCACATGCGTGCTGCATCAAAAACACAGCGATAATGGATGGGATTCGGGCAGGCCCACCCACAGGTCGCAACTATTGGTTTGCCTGAATCGGTCCAAACCGGCAGCAGCCCACCACTAACTAGTTTACATGGTTGGACTTACTCAAGTTGTCCTTCCAGGAGTTATGGTCCTCCCAGTAGCTCCACACCGTTCGTATCTGAAGAAATTGACCTTATCCATTCAGTGAAGCTTCGTATATAGAGATTGGGCTGTGTTTTGATGATGGTAATGAATAGAATACTGAGCTACTTTTCTCCTGAACGAAAAGCCACTGTTTCATTGTGGAGAGTGAAGACTCTTTGCTCAGCAATAGGAGAGAACGATTCTGCAGCCCCTGTAGAAATCCATTCTAGAGGTTGAAGAGATTCTCTGAAGCCGATCTGAGGGTTTGTACAAAAAATCTTTGGCTTGCACAGCCCTGGATCTGATTCAGATCATCAGCGTATGGAAATTACATTTGGAGGCTTGATATTCTAAATTATGGTTGCATATAATTAAAACATTCTATAAATCATACAAAACCAATCTGTGCTCCTCCTATCACATAATCCATGGTATTTTATCTAATGGAGCTGTGACTTTTTTTTTATTGGTGTGTACATTGATACCATATGCAGGGCTGATTTCACAGCCATAAAATTCTTTGAAACTATAAATACCAGAGACATTAGGTTTAAAAACCATGCAGTCCTGTAGCATCTTAAGAACGGTATTATTTATTATGGCTGGGGTTTCATCAACTGGTAAAATCAGATGATATTGCTCTATTAGGTTGCAGTATAAGAACATAATTCATTTCCAAATATGGTCAAAAATCGATCTTGGTAAAGGTGAAAGGAAATCGTGAGTTTGAGATGCCACATACACATTGTATAAAATGTGCGTCTTATGTAGATTTGTTGCACATCCTTCATCATTTCATGCAGTGTTTCAAAATATAAATTACAAAACCAGACTGTGGGCCTCAGAGACCAAGTCCTAATGTTTCAAAGACCAATGGATAAGGCTACTGCTGTCTTCTTTTCTGGCCAGAAGAGGGAGACAAAGGGCATTGGGAGGGTAGATTATTTTACAAATAATAATAATTAAGAAGACATAATAAATCAATGCTTCCTTAAATCAAGGTTTTGATGAAAGACATAGTTACTCCTGTCCCTCAAGAGGAGGTAAAAGCTGTCATCCGTAAATGCTTAGAACAAGCTGCATTGACTAACTATACTCGGCTATCAGAATATGCAAAAATCGAAGGTAAGGTAAATTTAATTCTTAACTTCAAGTGTTAGCGTCCTCTTTCAGAGAAAAAGATTTTTAAAAGCTGTGTTAAAAATAAAGATCATCTGCATATATCATTACCAGATAAGCAGACATAAATAGATTTTTAAAACATAAAGCAAAATGGAGAATATAATAATCTTGCACAGAACAGTAATCAAAATCTGGCATATATTTCCCTCCCCCCCCAAAAAAAAAAAGAGCATGACATCAACATATCACTGCTGGTGACAGTGGGTTCATTGGACAATTGAATGAGCAGAACACTCAGAAATGTTTGCACGGCCCTCGTTCCTTTAGAAGCTAATTAAAAATGTCTATTTTTCCCTGGATAATGTTTGCCACCTTCCCTTTTTGTATAGCAGCTCCTGTCAAGTCAGTTGGCCTTGCGCTGGCTTCAGATCTCATTCTTGTCACTCTAAATTTGCCGCAGATGATATTGCTGACCTTTTACATTAGGAAAGAATAACAATTAGTGACCAAAGACACATGTAGCCATCAAAAAGACATTTTAAAACTTGCTGGAAGATACGCTTTTGGCAGGAATCTAATTATACATGCGAGTAGATCTTTAATGCGTTCATCAATTTTTTCATTGTTACTCGGTTGTTGCTGAATAGTAATGCAAAAACTCCGGTTCAATGTCTTGCTGTGAAATGGGAAACGTGGAATCATGCAATATGGATGGTGGTTTCTCGTCCTGTGTGAGCCGTGAAGCTTTTACTGTGTTCACTTGGAGGAATAACACTGGCAGAATGAATATCACTATTCAATTTCTTTCTCCTAGTCCTTGCTTGTCAGAAGGTCTGTTGTGATAAGTCACATATTTCCAGGGTCTGTACACTGATATACTTTCCTCTCTCTTTCAATGTTTTCCCCCCCATTGACAATGCAAATTGTGTACCAGTGGTAATGAATTCATTGTTATGCATCCAGTGAGAAACACTTAAGAATTGGGCACTAAAAGGATGTTTATCAACTCTTGACTCGGTAATGAGCAGTGAAAATAGAGAAGGAAAGCAAGTCTCTTGAGTGCTGAGCTATCAAGCAATTTATCCAAGCCTTCTACTTCACGGGTTTTAATTGGTGAACTCTGTTACAAATTTCAATGTTTAAATCTGCTTTCGTGAAGACATGGGAGAACTCCAGTAGAAAAGCACCTTTGGGCTTCTTGTTTTCCTTTCCTTGGTCTCTGTATAACCCTCACTAACTTTGTCGGTAAGCTGTGCCTCTCTTCTTTCAGATATATCTATGCAAAAACAAACTTTATGATCTGTAAGTAAAAATGCATTCATTTCCCAAAAACGTAGAACAGTTAGCGTGTACTTTCCTTTTGTGCCTCAATTCTTCTTGATTGTGTTAATTCTCTGCCCTCTTTTTTTTTTTTTTTTTTTTTTTTTGGCACTGTGACTTTAGGTCTGGGAAACTTTGAAGCAACAAACTTTTTTTTTTTTTTAGTTTTTCTCTTTCTCTCTCCTCTTTTTTTTTTAAAAAAAAATATATCCAGCTGTTGTTTTCAGAGAAGTACTTTCATCCCACACTACCTGCTCTCTTCTGCTTCTCCTTTTCCTTGTTTGTGGTTGGTTCAGCCACTTTTCTATGTTGCCTCTAGAAAAAGTGGTTGCGTCAGTTTCAAAGCATGCTGGGATTGTTAATTCAAACAACCCAACATCAGCAAGTTGCATGCCTCAGGTTTTCTCTCATGAGCATAGTCCACTCACTAGGAGTTGCTTTTTTAAATTGTTTTTAACTTTACATATATATATATATATACACACATTTATATGCATATTGTGCAACCTGTTTCCTGAAAGGAATCTAGTCATTTGGAAATGAAACGCTTTATTCTGTCTCAATATCTAGAGTGCGCTAAAATTAAGATAAGTAATGATGATGAGCAATGCTGTTTGAGGCTATGTTTATGAAGAAATACCTGTGAAAACCTTAGATACTAAAGGCTAAACTCCTTAGTATCTCGGAGCCTTAAATCAACAGAATTCTATTTCCTCCTGTTTGTGATGTTCTGATCATTATATTCCTACCAAGAATTCAGAACAAACCTTTAGAATCATGGGCACAATCCCTTTTGTGGCTCATGAGCATGCTGAATGGTTAATCCAGAAAACACCCAATTTTAAATCTCCTTTTTTTATTATTATTTTAATTTTATTTCCTGTATGTATCCCCAAATACTCTACAGCTACTTTCCTTTAAAGCTAATGTAAAGTTTTCCTCTGACCTATGACCTATAACCTCTTTACCTCTGACCTAAGCCTCTTGCATGCCCAAATCCTCTTTTATAGGGAAAAAGAGAGAAATGTATGAGCATCCTGTCTTCTGCTTGGCCTCTCAAGTGATGGATTTAACCATTCGTGAGTACCTTCCTTCCACCTCTCCATGCTGCCTTCGCTCTTTTCCGTTTTCATTTCCTCCGTCCAATCCAGAGCCAAACCAACTCATTTTCCTCGCTTTGAGTCTTTTAGCATTTGGCTTGTCTGTTGCTTCTGTCTGTGAAAGTCCCAGTTGTGAGAGGTCAAGTCACTTTTTATCAGCCTAAAAACCAGGTTAGAAAAAAATTCAGCCGGTTTTTTTGTTTGTTTGTGACAAACTCCAATTTATCTGTAAGTTTTTTTCCGTTCTTTCTGTCTGTGACCTGAATGCATTTTTACTTTGCTTATGTGTAACCCCAATTTGTAAACACTTGTCACTGGTACACAATCAAGAGGGAGTTACCGCACCGGGGGAGCACGGAGTTACGGTTCAGCTACGAAACATTTCCCGAATGTTTTTTTTTTTGGTTTCTGAAGTTTGTAACAACCTTTGCATAAAACCACCGAAAAACGTCCTCGTTGGACATTAGCTCTTTNTGTTGCTATTGAAATTCAGCCAATTTACCCAAGAAAGGGGTCTGCAAACACAATGCTACTTGCCCATTTCTGAAGCAACAGGAAATCTTCAACAAGAAGATGGAGCTTGGCCCTTAATTTAGGTGAATTCCAAAGGAGATCATGGAGGATAAGAACAGCTATTAGTCATGCCAGTATGCTATCTCCGGGATTAGAGGCATTTTTTTCCTCTGAATAGCAGTTATTAGAAAATAACAGTGTGAGATGGGTTTTTGACCTGATTCAGCAGGGAGATTATGAGAGACAAATGGAAACTGTGCTTTGTCATTGTTAAAAGTGTTGTCAAAGAGCAGAGATCAGGTGCCCTGTTTCAGGGCCTGTTTAAATCTGCAGACCTCTTTTTCTCATGGTGAATGATAGAGACCAATGTAAAACTAGCTTAAAGACCTGAACTTTAATATCGCTTGGTGAACTTGGTCAACCTCCTTGCCTATTTGATCATAATTAATATACTATGAAGTGGAAAAGGCTACAACTCCATTCTATCGAATAAAGGCAGAATTCAGGGGTTGCAGAGAGAAAAACGGGAATTGCCCTCTGCAGCTGAAGGCTTACCTTGACCTGTTTGCTTCCTTTCCCATCTTTACTAAATGAAATGGAATGTTGGAAGGCCAGGGAGGCTGGCTTATCAATCTTAGTTTCTTGTGAAAAAGGTTTTAACAAACTTCCAGTTGTCCAGTCAAGCTTAGGAAAATTTGCTAAATCAAGTTCCTGCTTACCTAGGTGTGATTTATTTTTTTTACGGTTCGAGTAATATTATGGAGGAGAAGGCCGAAAGACTTAAAAAGGCTAAACTCTCTGTGGGGAGTGTTAAAGAAACAGGAATGCCAACTAGAACAGCAAAGTCCAGATCTTTTATGTTTTGAAGTACAAATAGTGTTTATTTTTTTTTCCACTGCTCCTTCAGTGAAAAAAATGATATTTTCTTTGTTTTGAATATAAGCTTATTTTTGCTGCAAAAAAGAAGCAAAAATAGGTTAAGCTATAAAACCTGCCATTAACCTTAATGTATAAGTTGCATAGAAAATATGTATTTAAAACATTCATCACAATCCAAACACATGGGAATATTGAGTCTGGAGTCTTGTTCTGCAGTAGAGGCGTGGTTATATTGAATAGTAGAGGTTGTCAGAATATTCGCAATGATATCCGCACAAAAATATGCCCATAAGGATTCAGAGATTTACTCCCAGTTAAAGAAATACCCTGAACTGGGAAACTAGAATCTGCTGTTTGCTTGTTCTTACAATAGATGTGGCATTCAGCTGTTTGTTCATTGCTCCAAGGAGGATGGCTTGCACCTTCGTTTTGTAGTTCACTTACTTTTATTCATGGATACACGGTGTACCAATTGCTTGACCAAACTTGAGGGAAGGAGGGAGGGAGGGAGGGAGGGAGGGAGAGAGAGAGAGAGAGAGAGAGAGAGAGGGAGAGACTGACTGACTGACTGACTCACTATTCTGGCAATAACTCATTCAGATAAATATGCCAGAATTGTTTAGAAAAGTGCTTTGGCTATTAAAATGTTGAATTAAATATAACATAAAATATAGGAGAAATACATTCATCATATAGAATTTGTTGTGTTAATACAGAAGAAC